AATAGAAACTCTGCATACGCTTGCACCTGTTAATCGTTTATATTTTATATTAGTTCATGTTGCTTTTGTGCAATATATGAATAACAATTTATTTGTTTTAGATATTTTTTGTTTAGATATTTCTATTTTGCGGGAGTCCCGTGAATCATTTTATTCTACAGCATCCCCCACACACACGAGTGTCTCTCACTCTTGCGTCGGGTCTCACGGGAGCAGGTCTCTAATCCACTGGCACTGAACTCCACAGTGCGTGAGCTACATCCTTTATACAATCTAGATTATAAATCACCGCATTCTGTCAGCAATGTAACGCGGCAGTAACGTATAGAGACCTCGGCTTGTAACTATACTCTAATTACTATTTTGAAAATTATAACGCGTTAAATTACTCCGTTACTAAAAAAGTAATCAAATTACAGTAATGCATTACTAAGTAATGCGTTACTGCCCAATACTGCTCCTGAAGCATGATTTTAAAATTGTTGCAAGATTGTTTTGCCCTTCAAATGAACCCAGATGGGAATCGAGAGAGTAGGGCTAGATAGAGAGAGAGTGAGTGCAAAAAAACTGGAAAAAAAAAGGATTGTAATGGAGCTTGTCCAGATGACATAAAGCCTCCACCCTTTACTACTGTTCAAAACCAAGCTCACGCTATCATGACCGTCCTCCATCTCACAACACATGATGTCAGGCTTCGCTGGAATTTTCTGGATCAGAAACCGAATGCAATGCAGACCTTGAGACGGTGCAGAAGTTCAGCTTTGATTCAGTGATTCAGCTCACGACAGCAGTGAGACATGCATGAGTGTTACAGTCAAGATTTGTATCCACTGGAGCTCAGCATAAAACACGACTCCTTTCCTCTGAACTCTCAGGTCACGGGGGAGATAATGTATCAAAGATTGGAAAAAAACAAAACAAATCAAATGCACTTGGATGGATGTCTATTCCTGATGTTAAATCTTGTCTTTAAGAAGACAACGCTTCCCCGCCAAAGACGAGTTTTTACGGCTTTTCGTGTTTTCACTGTTATACACTCGGGGGCGCTATTACACATCTTCTGAACAAGTACAAAACCTCCCGAACAAAAACACACCTGAACAGGACGAAAAAACTAGCGATCTCTTATGTAAACAGATGCATATGATAAATAATGCGATCATCAGCAATAGACAGCATATAAATGAAGACTGCATAATGTTACGGAGTAAAATGTTGATCCAGGACGTGATATATGTCTGTGCAAGCTTTGGAGGTGTTGATGGAAGCGATTTACTGGATTTATGCTTTGATAATCGTACTGAATATTATCCATATGTAGTTTTTGATAAAAATGTGATTTTCTCACCTTTTTGCTCAAAATTATAAATTTTTATGAAACCTACCTATATTCAAGTGTTGATAAAAAAAAGAATGCTTTAAGCTAGAATAAAATGGATTTTTTTGTTTAAAAGTAGAGGCTCTGATCTTTATTTTGGTGTATTGCATATTCAAATATTCATACAGCAAAATATACTGTAGGCCATAAAATATTAGTCAAAATCATCAAAATCGCTGGCGGTGGCTGGCAGCTTTTTTCAAATAATAATGTGACGAGTGGTGCGGGGCCGAGAGCTGTGGGAACGGAGCGAGGCTGGTGGAGTAAATGATAATGAGCGACACCTGCGCCACACACTGGTCTCGAGTCCCACGGAGGAGCTCCAGAAGGATAAAAGGAGGAGCGACGACAGTGAATGGCCGAGAGAGGACCAGGCCTGGATTATTTATGTTGTTTTGTTTGTGCGCGGCAGTCGTCCGTGAGGGGCTGTTGCGCTATTTTAAGTTTTGTGTTTATTTTATTATTAAAATTATGTTTAAATGTTCGCCTGTTCCCACCTCCTTCTTCCCGACCTACGAACTGTGTTACATTGGTGCCGAAACCCGGGAGGAAGGAAGGACGCGCTGTCAGAGAGCCCTCGCTGCTGAGGGGGATCGCGGTGCTGAGGAGATCAGGCAGCAGGAAGGAGCGGAGACCGCCGGTGGCTGCTTGAGGTTAGGTTGGTGCTGGAATGATGGAAGATGAGGTGGGACGGAGGGCTCGCTGCCATGCTCCTGGGTCGAGGAGGGGTGGCTGCCATCCAAGAGGGAGCGGAGGAGCCAGTGTCGTCCACCAAAGATGTCAAGTACCATCGCATGGCACTGCGAGTGAGAGCCTCTCAGCTGGTTGAGGACCAAGCGGCAGTGTGTCCGGGAACCAGACCGAGAATTTATTTATTTTTCCCTCTCTCCCCTCTCTCGTCTCTGTCTCTCCTCATCCTTTACCATCGCATGGCACCGCGAGTGAGAGCCTCTCAGCTGGTTGAGGACCAAGCGGCAGTGTGTCCGGGAACCAGACCGAGAATTTATTTATTTTTCCCTCTCTCCCCTCTCTCGTCTCTGTCTCTCCTCATCCTTCCTTCTCCTTTTCTCTTGCCTCGTCTGTCCTTACCCCCATGTGCTGCGTCCGCCATGACGGGGCCCCCGGGGAGGAGTAGAGCACAGCCTCGGGAGTACCCCCGGCCTACCTTGTATTCCCTACATTATGAGGACCAAATGTCCCCAAAAGGATAGCAATACCACTAAATGTTGGTCCCCATGAGGAAACAAGCTAATAAATCATATAGAATTAAGTGTTTTGAGAATGTAAAAATGCCTGTAGTTTTGTGTGAGGGGTAAGTTTAGGTGTAGGGTTAGGGTAAGGGGATAGAAAATACAGTTTGTACAGTAGAAAAACCATTAGGTCTACGGAATGAACCCATAAAATGTGAATATGTGAATGTGTTATCTGTTGGTAACACTCTTGAGACCATTTTATATATATATATATATATATATATATATATATATATAACTCCATTATATAACTCACATCACGATCGTGATCACAATTATGTGCATTTCCTGAGAGACATAGCGGTACTTGCAAGACAGGTTTAAGGTTTAAGGTAATTTTAGGTTTTAGTCTTCAGTCAAGTGAAATGCTGCTGCCATAACACTCATGGAGCTGGATGTGAGAATCAATACAAGACAACAGTTTATTTGCATTAAGACCACAATATGTGGTTCTAAAATACCAATCTGTGACACTTTCCTGTAGTTCAGACAGAACAGCAATGGCATTAATAATACCAAAGTCATGGGTTTGACAGCCAGGCAAAGAACTGATCAAATGTAAATGTGTACCTTGAAAGCATGTGCTAATCTTAACATGACACCATCACTGATGGTTGAACTTTGAGCATTCTAACAATAACATGAAAGGCATATTTTCACACTTTGAATGAATTAAAAAAATCATATAACTTTGGTAAAAAGGAAAACTAGAACATCCACCTAAGACGTGAAGGAATTCCCACAGATAAGTTCTCAAGCAGGTCTCCCTTATCTAGTTACAGCTACATGTGCGAGCAAGTAAAGACTGTGTAAGCTCCAAGCAGTCAGTCAAAATGTTACTGGAGAGAAAGCAAACTCACGTGTGGCTTCTGTTGTGCGTCGGCTGTACGTTCGACGAGCTCGGTATCGAACGACGAGCTCACCGCTCTCCATCATGGGTTCAAACGCCTCACTTTACAACAACACACACAAATGCAAATCTTTAAGCCCACATATTCTTCACATGGAGCAGTACCGCTTAGTATTTTTTAATTTCTTTATTCAGTTATGTTTTTGGTAATGTTATACCTAAACTATACCTGTTGTAAACATTGCTAAAAAAATGTACACTTAAAACACCTCCCACCTCTTCTCGGTACTTTATTTTACAAAAAAAGAATGATAATTGACCACATCAGGATGAGAGTTTTGTGCCTTCTAGTCCCTGTCCATTAGCTCTTGTCCCATGTAGGGTTATGAGGAGATTCTGGAAACTATTCCAACGTCCTGGACAGATGACCAGTCCAAGATTAACATTCACACTTACAATCACGGACAACTTAGTGACTCTAGTTCATGTATGCCTCATTTTACAGTTAGGTTTAATAGCAAATAACAGCTCTGCTCACACCCACAGTGTCAGAATCCGGCAAAACAGCAGAAAGCCTAATTTCTACCCACCCAAAACGTGTCTCCTTCCGCCTCAGCCTGGTCACATACACGGCCAAGAGCACCGCTAGAGCGATGGCGGCGGTGATGGCCATGACCACATACCACCAGTGCCAGGAGAACGCCGGAGCACTCAAGATACCTTCACACAGATGCAGAGAATGAAAGGTCAAGAATGTCAATGTAAATGAGATTATAAAGAGGAAAGGGGGAAACATGCAAGCACTGAAGTGTGTAGCTCTGTTTGGAAACCGAGTGAGCTTAGGATTTCAAGGCTCTTGAGTCTAATGCATTTCCTGCCTGTTCTTTTGCTTTATAGACTTTTAGTTTGTAGTTCTTGCCCTTGTGTTTCCAGTTCTCATTGCCAGGTCTTGTCCTTTCCATGTTTCCTTTACTTTCGTTATTAGAATTTTAAAGTTGGTGCTCTTGAGTCCATTTCAAGATTTAGGCCGCAACACTCTGCTGCATTACATACATGTTAGCCAGATTCTGAGGCAGAATTGCATTCTAGTCAATCCCAGAATGCAATGCAGTGAGCTTAGGGAATAATAATGTGTAAGAGGGTCACACCGGATGCATCAAGCAGACCACAAAGAGTATCCTAAAGGTTTGTCTATTTGTGGTTGAACAGCTTGAATAAAGTTTATACTATATATAGGGGATATGCATTATATTAATCTGTCTGGCTACTAAGTCGAGTACCTCAGCTTTTTCTCCCTCGTCACCTAAACATCTTATGGAGTTTCACCAGGATAGATTAAACTTGGGTTGCATAAATAAATGATACTATACTGTTGCACTATGCTGACTTCCCACCAGGCCAATATCTGATGTGTCTTTATATTTGATCATGGTCAACTGTTCAGAGACCAGAGAGTGAATGTGTTTTGTTCAGCTGGTCATTGGTTGAATTAGCTCATTAAAATGACCTCAGTGCAAGACAGTCCATATTTACAACAGGGCGTGTTTCTTCTAGAGAATGTCCTAAAATATTTCCACATGCCTCCCACTCAACAAAACTCCTGCAACTCATTTCCTTACATTTCTTTCTGCTCCTTTCTTGCCCTCATTTGTCTTTTTCTTCCTCTTTTCTGAGACAGCAACAGCCGACATAAAAATAAAAACAACATTTTAAGAAGGACTCCAAATAAGGGAAGTAAAAGGAAAAGTTCACTTCTGTATCTTCTGTGGGTCCTATTTTTGTGGGATGAAATGTCTGAGATGAGTTACATTTTGTGTCTTCCCGACGTCAGGTTTCTGTGAGGGTTAGGTTTAGGGTTAGCATCACGGTAGAACAAATACTGAGTTCTGGCATGAAGCTCTAGATGGCACAGTCCGATAGGTCTAGCTCAATCTGACCTCATTATCTGACATCATTATCACATGGCACAGCTGATTGGTTCTCTCCTGTATTGGTAGCCAATGAGCTCGCTGCTCAACATTCAAATATATGACTAGTGCTTGCCGTAGCAGTGCAGCTTGCTTCAGAACAGCGAAATCAACATCTAAGATAAGTGAATGCTCTTCTAATTCATATCGCTGTGTGTATTGCGTGGTCTGCATAATTGAATTCAAAAAATGAGCAACCATAATCAAGTTTAAACTAAGTGTCATGTTGGCAGTTTGCATTGTATGCAGGAGTGAATATTAAGCATATTAACAGCAGCATTTAGCATCTGTGTTAATACAGCTGGAGCAAAACACAGTTTAGAGCAGTGTTGGGCAAACTTCCTGCAGAGATTTGATCCAACCCTGATAAAACTCACCTGCCTGTAGCCTTCTAGTAGTCTTGAAGACAATGATTAGCTGGTTCAGGTGTGTTTGATTAGGGTTGGAGCTAAACTCTGAAGGAAAGTGGCCTGGAAGGGCCAAGTTTGCCCACCCCTGGTTTAGAGCATATGTAATTGCTCTGAGGACACGCCGATAGTAATGGACATGAAACGGATTAAATTAAATAAGCATTCTTGTGTATGCAATTCAACTGGGGTTCTCCATATACATCGGCAATTATTTATATTCTGCTTTTATTTCAGTTCATTCAGGTCAGTCCACCCAGTGGTTTTAGTGCACTGTAACTTTGACAACTTTTATCTGCACGAGAGAGTAAAATGGCATGCATCGGCTAACTTTGTCCGTCTCATCACTGCACAAACATGAATTAACAAGCTGTTACGCTGCCGCTGGGATTGATGAAGTGGAGAAAGTAACAGCAGTTATCAAATGACTAAATTATGGTATTTGCTCAGGTGGGTGCTGGGGTCTTATCTATCGGATTGCAACGTATATCCATTTGGTTAATTAAACATTACATATAATGCACGTCTAATTTAGAGTTAAGACAGTCGGCGTGGTAGCCCAGGCTCACATAGTCATAGGCCACTAGTGTTAAGCCGGTCGGCGGGGTAGCCCAGGCACACATAGATAGTAATAGATGCGGTTCATATGGCTCTTCGGGGCAGCAGCAGTACATATGTCTTGGCGATAGATCTGCTTGTTGGGGGGCGTTTGTTCTTGTTTTGGCTTGTATTGTCCCTTCTATGTCTCCTGCTTTGTGGGGGGTTATTTCATGTATGTTATATTTGCAGCAGCAGTATTTCTTACATGCTCACAGCAGCATGTTGTGGATGTATTGGCAGTAGCAAGTCTCGGTACTTGCTCCGCCGCAGCAGCAGCAGCGTAGCAGATCTATTCCGCCAAAACCAAATACATTAACATTGACATGTACATTACCATGCCAATCCCTCCGAGAGTTGTCATGACAGAAATATAATTAGAACAATATAAAAGCATTTACAAGTCAATAGGAAGTCGTGTAAAAACACTTGTGTGTGTGTGTGTGTGTGTGTGTGTGTGTGTGTGTCACTCACCTCTGGATTGCCCCGTTTCTGCAAAACATTGCAAGGAAAGAGACCATTATTCAGTGCAACTGTTGACCTGTGGGAATTTTAGATGTGGTTACTGTCTGCCTGCTTTCATACCTGCAGGAATGAGCGTGATGGTTTGGAGGGGCGTCCAGGGCCCCTGTCCCGCTCCGGTGTAGGCACACACTCTGAAGGAAACATTTGACAGGGGGGCTGAGAGATTGACAAACAGCTCTGTGTCCAAACCTGTGTCCACAACAACCTGCAGACCAATCCATCATAAAAAACAAAGCAATCCAGTCAACATCAAACACTACTTCTATATAGATACAGCTATATAGTAAAGAGAAAATAAATGATAAAAAATATAAAATTTTTTCAGAGATTAAGGAATGGAAATCCAAAAGCAAACACAAATATTGCTGCCTGTGTGTGTCTGTGTCTGTGTCTGTGTGTCTGTGTGTGTGGTCACCTGTTCCATATTAGGTGCGCTGTACTCCATCATGTATCCCTGCAGCCGTCCGTTGATCTTTCCAGGAGGTTCTGACCATCTCAGGAGCACTTCTGTTCCGTTCACCACAACCGTCACATTGTCTGGGGCCGAATCCGGAACTAAAACACAAATTAAATGCCACAAATGAACATTCTCTTTCAAACTGTGAAATAACCCAGACTCACTGGAAATATGTTACTGTAACTACATTTCGCAAAAAATGTACCAATAAATACATTTCACTGCAGTTTCCAGGCGAAATGAACACTAGAGGCAGTAAAACACCAACAACTATTGATTCTTTTCACACAAATTATGATTACAAGGGTAGATTGTTGATTAATAAAGACTTTTTTCCATCACATCTGCACTGTGTATGGCTTTTCTGATGTACACTAGTAAAAAAGTAATATATTTACTTAATATATTTACTTAAAGTAATATATTTAAATACATTTATTTCATACTAAGTATACAGTTCAAATATATTAACAAATTTACTGACATATCGCTTGAGACTTACTGATATAAAAATTATAATTAAACTTTTTTTTGGAGAACTACTTGTGCACAATGCACATTTCTTAATATTAAGCCTAAAATGTGTTTTAATGTCACTATTAATGAGCATTGTATGATCTTTGAGCAATATCGGTCTTTAAATGCTAGATATTTAAAGTGTACCTAAAGTTTACTCGCAGTAGTTCCACTTTAGCACAATCAAATATACTTCAGTATATCTTTAGTTGGACTTCAGCACTACTTCTGCACCAAACTTGTTCCAGTTCAGCAGACTTGAAGTATACCAGTTTAGTATACCAAAAGTACAACTGCAGAGTATTTTTATTACATACATAAATATGTAAATGTATTTGTAGTATACTTAGTATTAAATGCATTTATTTCAAATACATTTTAGTATATTTATTTTTCACTAGGGTAGTAAACTTGCTTTTTAGCTCACCTGGTACATAACTGCACATATGATGTGAAATGACCAATGTAATTGTTGACTTCATCTTAAATATGAAAAACACAAAGAGCTGTCTATTTTAAACAGATAATGTGAAAACCTTATTTCCTTAATTTACCCTCCATCACCAAGTGAATGCTGGACTCTGGCAGTAGTATTTTAACAGAGGTGTAGAATAGTGTGGAATATAATAGGCAGGTGTGTAAATGACTTTTCTTAGCGAAAACCACATTAAGAACAGACACAAAGATGTTTTGACAGTCTTCAGAATCCATAAGAAGTATAATTTCATGTGTGTAAGAGTTCAAGTGTCCCAACATTGGTAAGAGAGTGTGCAGATTGTGTCTTTACTGAAGAGGCAGAGCTTAAGCTATGACAAAGTACACACTTACTAATAAATGTCCAGTGTATACATAATATAACAGAGAAAATGTAAAAAAAATTTCTTTACCCAGATAAAAAAAAATACTTATTTACACTGTATTTATTCATTTCTGACCATACTTGATTGTAATTTTGGTGAAAATATATTTCATCATAATTTTACTGGTCCATCCACTGCTACACCTACCAGCATATTTAATTTTCTGATATTTATCTTTATTTTTGATTATTTTATACAAATTTGAATTAACAATGCAAAAAAAAAAAAAAACTTCGATTATTTCCAAGATGATAACTACATATCACTCACTTGCGATGTGGTTTATGAGACAACAATGTGAAACACAGCTGTGACAATGTGAACCATTGCATAATGCCTGCTGTTGCACTGCTTCACTGTTTTTATTACTAGTGTTCTCTGCAGCATTCAATGAGTAGCAAGATCGTATTACAGCCTGAGCATACTTGTAGTTCTGACATATTTTGCAAAAGTGCAGCTAAGAGCCTCTTTTACTTTCTCTCTGTTTCTTTGTTAAACTCATTTCACTGCCGCTGTCTCTGTTTCTAATCCAGAGCATCAGAAAAAAAAACACACCGGGAACGGCTGCAGTAAGGGTTTGGAAATAGCTGTGTGAAAGAGAGAGAGAGAGTGTGCGTGTGTGCGTGTGTGTGTGTGTGTCTGTGTGTGTGTGTGTGTGTGTGTGTAGGTGTGTTTGCTAACTTCCCAGAACAGAATTCTCTTCAACAGCAGAATCAAACTATTTCTTAGTATATTTTCCACTCTCTTCACCTATGCGCTGGAGTCGTTAAGGAACATGGTGCGGCACTCCGATGATGTTATCAGGAACAGTTTCATGTCTAATTGTTTCCACATGTGTTTCTGGCTCACGGCTGTGAAAATACCATTTTGTCAAAAGCCTCTGCCTTCCTCTCCCATCTCTATTGCCTTACCCTCTCTCTCAATAACTTTCCTTAGTGGAAATCTTCTCCTACACTTCCAGTCCGATCCGATCATGCACACATACAACCCGCATGAGAAGAGCACTAGAAACCAGGATAAATAAAAAATTGTTGTACAAGGGTGTACAGGATTCTGAATTTATTGGGTGTAAATCATTTGGTGTGTCCAATAAGGGAGACATACAAAATGTGCAGTGGTGGGGATCTACAGGAGAGGTTAAAAAACCCTGCAAATGTAAAACATCCATATTAATTAGTGTAATGTAAATTAGGATTATGTGGACAATGTGCTTTACTATCATGAAGCTAATATTGCAGTTTTGATCCTACATTACTGAATTTGGAGATGTGACCTGGACATGTTGAGATGCACCAGAATTTTGAACTGTAACTAGAAATGAGTCGAGCGTTTCACATGAGCTGCTTTACAAGGCCTGAACCTCAGTCTTAAAGCAATTAGTCACAAATTGTGCTGTTTACTGTTTGTGGTGGCATGCGGTGTAAAATCTGCTTTCAGAAAGGTTTCTCTCATGCAGACTGGGGCTGTGTTTATAGAAAAATAGGCACGTACACACTCCAGCTAAACTCGGGTGGCAATTCACCTTTTCGTACTTAATCCTGTTCTGTTCACATACATTTCACTCATTTACTGGAGTGACAACTGCATTCTACACCCCAATTATCTCCCGAAAAACTCGGAGGTAGCGAAAACCGCATTTACAGTAATTCTATGCAGTGTGTACGAAACCGAACTGAAGAACTAGTTGTTAATAGCGTATTGAAATGAGCAGTTGTTTTTCCTTATGTATGCGCAATGCAAGAATATGAGCCTTGTTTCATTCGTGTTGCCAGATCTTGCAAAGAAAAAAAAAAAAGGCAAACAAGATCAAGCACAAAATAAATATAAATAAATCGAAATGCTTTATTTTGGAAATCCAGAGATATTGTAGCTCAAATCTGCCCACTATGACAACTAAATAAACTGGATAGCTTTATGAGTCAAGCAACAAACAACATGCCCAAAGATGCTTATAATAAGTGGAGATGGCAACACTGCAAGAGCGCGCTTGAAAGTCTTCCAAGCTTAAACAAAACACAATGCCTCTGTCAGCGGTGTAGCCTACCGTCAAACATCGCAATTTCAGGAGTGATTTGTTTTACGGACACAAACGGAACTTAATATTTAGGGAATTCACTCCGGTATTTAAGTGTACGAGGCCATAGTGTGGCAGACAGTCACTTGTATTATGTGGAGAGCAGTGTTAGCTAATAACCAAAGGTATCATTTCTAATTAAATAAGTTAATTACATTAACTTGTGCTTCTTTTTTTTTCAGGAGAACGATAATAGTGTAACCATGGTTCCCTGAGTAGGGAACGAGACACTGCGTCCTCTAGGGGTCGCTATGGGGAACGCCTCGTCGTGACCCGTGTCTGAAGCATACATTGAAAAAACACCAACAACACGTTGACCGGCGACAGCCCATGACATCACTACCGTTGTGATTATAGTATAAATAGGCATTGGGAGAACATGTCATTCACTTCTTCGTCTGAAGCTTGCGTTCG